TACATCCCATAATAACCCATAATAACCCATAGACCATACATCCCATAATAACCCCATACCCCATACATCCCATAATAACCCCATATCCCATAATAACCCCATAATAACCCCATAATAACCCCATATCCCATAATAACCCCATACCCCATATCCCATACCCCATACATCCCATACAGCCCACACCCCATATCCCATAATAACCCCATAATAACCCCATAATAACCCCATATCCCATAATAACCCCATACCCCATATCCCATACCCCATACATCCCATACAGCCCATACCCCATACCCCATAATAACCCCATATCCCATAATAACCCCATACCCCATACCCCACACCCCATACATCCCATAATAACCCCATATCCCATAATAACCCCATAATAACCCCATATACCCCATAATAACCCCATATCCCATACCCCATACCCCATAATAACCCCATACCCCATAATAACCCCATACCCCATAATAACCCCACATCCCATAATAACCCCATAATAACCCCATACCCCATAATAACCCCATATCCCATAATCCCATACACCCCATACCCCATCCATCCCATAATAACCCCATCCATCCCATAATAACCCCATCCATCCCATAATAACCCCATACCCCATCCATCCCATAATAACCCCATACATCCCATAATAACCCCATACCCCATCCATCCCATAATAACCCCATAATAACCCAATCCACCCCATAATAACCCCATAATAACCCAATCCACCCCATAATAACCCCATCCATCCCCATAATAACCCCATAATAACCCCATACACCCCATAATAACCCCATATCCCATATCCCATATCTCATATCCCATAATAACCCCATACACCCCATAATAACCCCATAATAACCCAATCCACCCCATAATAACCCCATCCATCCCATAATAACCCCATAATAACCCCATCCACCCCATAATAACCCCATAATAACCCCATCCATCCCATAATAACCCCATAATAACCCCATCCACCCCATAATAACCCCATAATACCCCATCCACCCCATAATAACCCCATTCATCCCATAACAACCCCATCCACAGTACCCCCCCATCCACCCCATAATAACCCATAACCCCCCCCATACTGGTCCCAGTACCGGTCCCATACTGGTCCCAGTCCCATACCAGTAGCGCGCATGAGCTTGGGCAGGAAGCGGGTCCAGAAGGCGCAGGCCTGGGCCCTCAGCCCCATACCCCATCCACCCCATAATAACCCATTATAACCCATAACCCCCCCCATACTGGTCCCAGTACCGGTCCCATACTGGTCCCAGTCCCATACCAGTAGCGCGCATGAGCTTGGGCAGGAAGCGGGTCCAGAAGGCGCAGGCCTGGGCCCTCAGCCCCATACCCCATCCACCCCATAATAACCCCATAATAACCCATAACCCCCCCATACTGGTCCCAGTCCCGGTCCCATACTGGTCCCAGTCCCATACCAGTAGCGCGCATGAGCTTGGGCAGGAAGCGGGTCCAGAAGGCGCAGGCCTGGGCCCTCAGCCCCATACCCCATCCACCCCATAATAACCCCATTATAACCCATAACCCCCCCCATACTGGTCCCAGTCCCGGTCCCATACTGGTCCCAGTCCCATACCAGTAGCGCGCATGAGCTTGGGCAGGAAGCGGGTCCAGAAGGCGCAGGCCTGGGCCCTCAGCCCCATACCCCATCCACCCCATAATAACCCCATTATAACCCATAACCCCCCCCATACTGGTCCCAGTACCGGTCCCATACTGGTCCCAGTACCGGTCCCATACTGGTCCCAGTCCCGTACCAGTAGCGCGCATGAGCTTGGGCAGGAAGCGGGTCCAGAAGGCGCAGGCCTGGGCCCTCAGCCCCATACCCCATCCACCCCATAATAACCCCATTATAACCCATAACCCCCCCCATACTGGTCCCAGTCCCAGTCCCATACTGGTCCCAGTCCCATACCAGTAGCGCGCATGAGCTTGGGCAGGAAGCGGGTCCAGAAGGCGCAGGCCTGGGCCCTCAGCCCCATACCCCATCCACCCCATAATAACCCATTATAACCCATAACCCCCCCATACTGGTCCCAGTACCGGTCCCATACTGGTCCCAGTCCCATACCAGTAGCGCGCATGAGCTTGGGCAGGAAGCGGGTCCAGAAGGCGCAGGCCTGGGCCCTCAGCCCCTTCCCCTCCCCCAGGGGCTCGGTGTTGAGGCGGGCGTAGCCCTGCCCCCGTGCTGTGAACTGGGGCCAACTGGGAACCCCTCCCCCATCGTCGTCGTCATCGTCGTCGTCATTGGCCTTGTTGGGGTCACTGTGGGGGAGGGGGGGAGAAGAGGGTGGGGGAGGGGAGAAGAAGGGGAATGGGGGTCAGTGTTGGTATCGGTGTCAGCAGCATCATCACCATCCATCATCATCATCACCATCCATTATCCATTATCATTATCCATCATCACCATCCATCATTATCCATCATCATTATCATCTTCATCTTCATCATCTTCATCATCATCATCATCATCCATCATCCATCATCATTATCATCGTTATCATCACAATCTATCTTCATCATCATCCATCATCATCTTCATCATCATCCATTATCCATCATCTTCATCATCATCATTACAGTCCATCATCATCATCATCATTATCATCATCCATAATTATCCATCATCATCATCATCATCCATTATCCATCATCATTATCATCATTACAATCCATCTTCATCATCATCATCATCATCATCATTATCATCATTATCATCACAATCCATCTTCATCATCATCATCATCCATCATCACCATCATCCATCATCATCATCATCATTATCACCATCCATCATCATCATCATCTTCATCATCATCATTAATCATCCATAATTATCCATCATCATTGTTATCATCACAATCCATCTTCATCATCATCATCATCCATCATCATCTTCATCAGCATCATTATCCATCATCATCATCATCCATCATCTTCATCATCATCATTACAGTCCATCATCATCATCATCATTATCATAATCCATAATTATCCATCATCATCATCATCATCCATTATCCATCATCATTATCATCATTACAATCTATCTTCATCATCATCATCTTCATCATCACCATCATCCATCATCATCATCATTATCACCATCCATCATCATCTATCATCTTCATCATCATCATTACAATCCATCTTCATCATCATCATCATCATCCATCATCATCATCATCATCCATAATTATCCATCATCTTCATCATCATCATCATCATCATCATCATCATCATCATCATCATCATCCATTATCATTATCCATCATCACCATCCATCATCATCCATCATCATCATCATCATCATCATCATCACCATCATCATCATCATCATCCATCCCCATCCCCCCACCCCCCCACCCCCCACCCCGCCAGTCCCCCCAGTTCCCCCACCCAGTCCGCGCGAAGTTCCCCCAGTATCCCATCATCCTCCTGCTCAGCCTCTTCTCCTCCTCCGTGTAGTTCATCCCGGCCCTTAGGGGCTGCCCGAACACGAACTCGATCTCGTACCCATGGGGCACCCCCATCCATTGGGGCCACCCCAAATTCGACGCCCGATGCTCAAACAGGTACGCGTACACCCGACCCCGTCCCCCTTCATCCCAATGGGACGCGAACTCCATCAATGGGCAAACCACGTTATGATCCCCGACAATAGCTCCCAGTGCTTCCCTGTTCTTTACTGGGTTATACTGGTCCAACCAGTCTGTATACTGGAGCTCCACTGCTGCGGACACCACCTCATTGGCTTGGGGGACCCCCATCCGCACCCCTTGTAGGAACTCATCGCGGCTGATGAGGCTCTCGTTGTCCTTCCCGAAACCGGGGACCCCATAGACCAGGAAGTAGGTGCCCTCGTCCTGAACGGCGCCCAATAGGATGTCGATGCCCTTATTGGGGTGCTGGGGACCAGTATGGGTGGAGGACTGGGGACCAGTATGGAGAGCATCCTTTGGAGCGGCATCAGCACCATGGAGAGCATCCCGGGTACCGCTGTGGATGGAGGCTTGGGGACCAGTATGGATGGAGGACTGGGAACCAGTATGGACGGAGGACTGGGAACCAGTATGGATGGAGGCTTGGGGACCAGTATGGATGGAGGACTGGAGACCAGTATGGAGAGCATCCTTTGTACCAGCATCAGCACCATGGAGACGAGCATCAGGACCATGGACAGCGCCTTGGGTACCACTATGGATGGAGGCTTGGGGAGCAGCATCAGCACCATGGACAGCGCCTTGGGTACCAGTATGGATGGAGGCTTGGGGACCAGTATGGATGGAGCCTTGGGGACCAGTATGGATGGAGCCTTGGGTACCAGTATGGATGGAGCCTTGGGGACCAGTATGGATGGAGCCTTGGGTCCCAGCACCATGGAGACGAGCATCAGGACCATGGAGAGCATCCCTTCTATGAGCATCACGTCCAGTATCCCGGGTACCCCTATTGATGGAGCCTTGGGTACCAGTATGGATGGAGCCTTGGGTACCAGTATGGATGGAGCCTTGGGTACCAGTATAAATGGAGCCTTGGGTACCAGTATAGATGGAGCCTTGGGTACCAGTATCAGCACCATGGAGAGCATCCTTGCTCCGAGCATCATGTCCAGCATCCCGGGTACCAGTATGGATGGAGCCTTGGGTACCACCATGGAGAGCATCCTGGGTACCAGTATGGATGGAGCCTTGGGTACCAGTATGGATGGAGCCTTGGGTACCAGTATGGATGGAGCCTTGGGTACCAGTATGGATGGATCCTTGGGTACCACTATGGAGAGCATCCTTACTCCGAGCATCCCATCCAGCATCCCGGGTACCCCTATTGATGGCGCCTTGGGTACCAGTATGGATGGATCCTTGGGTACCAGTATGGGTGGATCCTTGGGTACCAGTATGGATGGATCCTTGGGTACCAGCATCAGCACCATGGACAGCACCCCGGGTACCCCTATTGATGCCCCCTTGGGTACCACTATGGGGCGCATCCTTACCCCGCGCATCCCAGTTACCCCATTGCCTCCCAGCATCCTCCTTTAGGAGCGCATCGGGACTATCCCTTATCACCTCCCCATCCACAACTGGGACGAAGGCAAACCGGAACACGCTCCCTTGTGGGATCACCGACCCTTCCCATTGCACCAACTCTTGGGGTTCCCTCTCCCTTAAGCACCCCACTACTTCCGACTCATTCCCAATGCACCCCAAAGCCACCCCTAAAGCCAACCCCCTCCGACGGCTCTCATTGGGGCCTATGGTGACCCATGGGGCGTTGGGGGACCCGCTTTGGAGGACGGCGCGGTGGAAAAGGGACCGGGTTATAGGGGAGAGGAGATGGATCCCTATGGAAGCGGCGCCGGCGCTCTCCCCAAAGAGGGTCACCCTATTGGGGTCCCCCCCAAAAGCATGGATGCTCCGTTGGACCCAAGTCAATGCCAAGCGTTGGTCCAAGAGCCCCACATTACCGGGGGCGTCCCCATAACCGGGGAACCCCAAAAACCCCAATGCCCCAACGCGGTAATTCATGGATACGACGACCACCGATTGGTCCACAGCGAGGATGCGGCCGTCGTAGACGTCCAATGAGGCGGCTCCGCTGTAAAACCCGCCCCCGTAGATCCAAACCATGACCGGGATTGGCTGGGGCGGGCGGGGGGATGGGGTCCAGATGTTAAGGTAAAGGCAATCCTCGCTCATATCCCGATTGGGGTTCCACATCTCGGCCCCATGGAATCCTGGGAAGGCCGTGTCGACCAATTGGAAGCAAGCGTTGGGGTGGGAGGAGGCGTCCAATGGGTGGGTCCAAGGGCGGGCTGGGATTGGAGGGCGGAAACGGAGGGGGCCCAATGGGGGTTGAGCGTAAGGGATGCCCAAGAAGGCGGCGGCCAATGAGGAGGGGGAGGCGGGGAGGAGGGAGCCCAGGATTGGTCCGTCCGGGGTGACGACCAATAGCTCGGAGGATGGGGAGGAGGAGGAGGAAGGGGATAGGAGGAGGAGCAATGGGATCATCAATGGGGTCATCAATGGGGTCATCAATGGGGTTATCAATGGGGGTATCCATGGGGATGGGGATGCGGTTGCCATGGCGACGGCTGTAAAGAGAACAAAGGGAAGGACCAATGGGTGAGCGCTATAGGGGAATGGGTGCTATGGGGCTGGCCCCATAGAAGGGGGGGGTTGGGTGTGGGGTGATGGGGTTTGGGTATGGGGCGATGGGGTCTGCCTATGGATGTATTGGTTCTCCCTATAGATCAATGGGGTCTCCCTATAGAGCAATGGGGTCTCCCTATAGATCCATGGGGTCTCCCTATAGAGCAATGGGGTCTCCCTATAGATCCATGGGGTCTCCCTATAGAGCAATGGGTTCTCCCTATAGATCCATGGGGTCTCCCCATAGATCCATGGGGTCTCCCTATAGGTCATTGGGTGTCACTGCAATGGGTGCCCCATAACCCCATAGGTGCCCCATATAGGTCCATGGGTGCCATTGCTATGGGGTGCCCCATAGATCCCCTCTGTGGGTCCTATCGTATTGGGGTGCCATTGCTATAGGGTCCTGCTATAGCTCCATGGGCCCCATTGCAATAGGGCAGCCCCCAAGCCATGGGGCTATGGGGGGCACCCAGGACCATGGGACTGGGTGAGGGCGAGACCCCCATATGTGGGTCCCAACCCCCCCACCTCCCCATGGCCATGGAGCAAGCCCTGGGATATGGCTGTGGGACAGCGCTATGGGGCAGAGCTATGGGGCAGGTCTATAGAGCAGCGCTATGGGGCAGGTCTATAGAGCAGCACTATGGGGCAGAGCTACGGGGCAGTTCTATGGGGCAGGTCTATAGGGCAGCGCTATAGGGCAGTGCTATGGGGCAGTTCTATGGGGCAGGTCTACAGAGCAGGTCTATGGGTCTCTATGGGGTGGGGGCTGGGTCTTCCCCTCCCCTCCCCCCCCCACAAGTGTCACTTGGGGGTCGCAGCAGGTGGCGGCTCCCAAAATAGCCCCAGGAATTCGGGAGCGGAAACAGCCGGAACCAGGGAATGTGGGGGGCAGGGGATGTGGGGGGGAGGGGATGTGGGGGGGAGGGGATGTGGGGGGCAGGGGATGTGGGGGGCAGGGGATGTGGGGGGCAGGGGATGGGGGGGGAGGGGATGTGTGGGGGAGGGGCAGGGAATGTGTGGGGCAGGGGATGTGTGGGGAGGGGATGTGTGGGGGAGGGGATGTGTGGGAAGGGCAGGGGATGTGTGGGGAGGGGATGTGTGGGGGAGGGGCAGGGGATGTGTGGGGGAGGGGTTGTGTGGGGGAGGGGCAGGGAGTCTATGGGGCAGGGGATGTGTGGGGCAGGGAATGTGTGGGGGAGGGGCAGGGAACGTGTGTGAGCTCATCCCTATAGGGGGATGCTCTGCCCCATAGATGCTGCCCCATAGAAACACTCAGCTCCCCCCCCATCCCCTATGCATCCATAGGGGGATGCTCTGCCCCATAGATCCTGCCCCATAGAAACACTCAGCACCCCCCCATCCCCTATGCACCCATAGGGAGATGCTCTGCCCCATAGATCCTGCCCCATAGTGAGATACACCCCCCCCATCACATATAGATACATAGGGAGATGCCCGGCCCCACATAGCCCCGCCCTATAGATTCTGCCCCATAGAACCTGGCCCCATCCCATAGACATCCATAGGGAGATGCTCACCCTCTATATCTCCAGCCCCATAGATCCCTGCCCCATAGATCCCTGCCCCATATCGATTCCCTCCCTATTCCTTATGCACTCATAGGGAGATGCTCTGCCCCATAGATCCCAGCCCCATAGATCCCAGCCCCATCCCATACACATCCATAGGGAGATGCTCATCCTCTATACACCCAGCCCCATAGATCCCAGCCCCATAGATCCCAGCCCCATATTAACACCCTCTCATCCCCTATATATATATATATAGGGAGAGACTCACCCCTATTTACCCAGCCCCATAGATCCCTGCCCTATAGCGACCCCCCCCATCCATTACACAACCCCAGGGAGACGCCCATGCCCTATAGAACCAGCCCCATAGATTCCCCCCCATAGAAAGACCCGGCCCCATCCCCTATACCTGCCCAGCCCCACACATCCCCACCCCATAGGAACACCCCCCCCGCCCCATTCCCTATATATACATACGGATGCCCCCATCCATTCTACACCCAGCCCCATAGATCCCAGCCCCATAGATCTACAGCAGGATCCCCCCCCTCTCCCCTATACATCCATAGGGAGACGCCCATCCCCTATAGAACCAGCCCCATAGGTCCCGCCCCATAGGGAGCCCCCCCCACTCCATCCCCTATAGATCCATAGGCAAAGCCCCGCCCCATAGCACCCGCCCCATAGCTCCTGCCCCATAGCGAGCCCCTCCCTTCCCCTCCCCCCCCCATTGCAGGTGCCGGGGGTGGGGGGGGGGGGGGCGGTGGGGGGGGGGTGGGGGGGGGGCGGTCACGGACCCGCTCGCGCCGCTGCTCCCGCGCTGCGGCTCCGGCTCTGAGCGGGGGGAGGGGGGGGGAGGGGTTAAAAGAGGAGGGGGGGGAGGGGGGGAGGGGGAGGGGCCAAAGGAGCCGCGTTCCCCCCCCCCCCCCACTCCTGCGGCAGAGCCGCCCCTCCCCCAACCTTGCGCTGCCGAGGGGGCGGGGAGACCCGGAGGGAGACCCCATAGCCCTGCCCCATAAACGGCCCCATAGCCCTGCCCCATAGACTGGTCCCATAGAGCTGACCCATAGAATGGTCCCATAGAGCTGCCCCATAGAGCTGCCCCATAGAGTGGTCCCATAGAGCTGCCCCATAGAGTGGTCCCATAGCCCTGCCCCATAGCCCTGACCCATAGAGCTGACCCATAGGGCTGCCACATAGCCCTGCCCCATAGAGTGGTCCCATAGACTGGTCCCATAGAGCTGCCCCATAGAGGGGTCCCATAGAGCTGACCCATAGAATGGTCCCATAGAGCTGCCCCATAGAGCTGACCCATAGAGCTGCCCCATAGAGTGGTCCCATAGAGCTGCCCCATAGAGCTGACCCATAGAGCTGCCCCATAGAATGGCCCCATAGAGCTGCCCCATAGAGCTGACCCATAGAGTGGTCCCATAGAGCTGACCCATAGCCCTGCCCCATAGCCCTGCCCCATAGCTCTGCCCCATAGAGCTGCCCCACAGCCCTGCCCCATTGCCCTTCCCATAGGGCTGCCCCATAGAGTGGTCCCATAGATCCCCCCATAGCCCTCCCCCATAGAGCTGACCCATAGAGTTTCCTGCCCCATAGAGCCCCATCCTTGACACGGGTGCCCCCCAGCACCCCCACGTGTGGCTGAGTCACTGCAGCCCCGCAGGGGAAACCATGGAGCACATCCCATAATACCCAGTAATATCCCAGAATAACCCATCCCCCATCCCCCATATCCCATAATAACCCCATACCCCATACCCCATAATAACCCCATACCCCATATCCCATAATAACCCCATACCCCATAATAACCCCATACCCCATATCCCATAATAACCCCATATCCCATAATAACCCCATACCCCATATCCCATAATAACCCCATACCCCATATCCCATATCCCATAATACCCCATAACACCCCATACCCCACATCCCATAATAACCCCATATCCCATAATACCCCATCCCCCACCCCCCACCCCCATCCCCCACATCCCATAATACCCCTCCCCCCCTCCCCCTCCCCCCCTCCCCCTCCCTAATCCGATTACCCCTCCCCCCATAGACACCATGGGTGGGGGAGGGGCGATGCTGCCGATGGGGGGGGATTAACCCCTGCCCCTCCCCCACCCCTCCCCTCCCCCCTCCCCCCCCCCCCCACGTGACCTCACTCCGGCGCTCGCGGCTCCCTGGGGGGCAGGCACCGCTCTGGGACCCCCTCCCCTCCCCCCACCCCCCCCCCCGCACCCATTGAAGGGGGGGGCCCAGCCCCAGGTAAGGGACCCCCCTCCCCCTCCCCCACCCCCTTGCACCCCAATGATGGGGGGAGGGGGGGGCTATGGGGTCAATGGGGGGCTATGGGGGCTCTATGGGGTGAATGGGGCCCTATGGGGTGAATGGGGCCCTATGGGGGTCAATGGGGTGCTATGGGGGCCCTATGGGGGTGAATGGGGCCCTATGGGGGTGAATGGAGCCCTATGGGGTGAATGGGACCCTATGCGTCCTCTATGGAGTGAATGGGGCCCTATAAGGTTAATGGGGTTCTATGGGGTCAATGGGGTTCTATGGGGGCCCTATGGGGGTGAATGGGTCCCTATGGGGGTCAATGGGGTTCTATGGGGTCAGTGGGGCCCTATGGGGTCCCTATGGGTCCCTATGGGGTCAATGGGGTTCTATGGGGTCAATGGGGCCCTATGGGGGTCAATGGGGATCTATGGGATCCCTATGGGGTTCTATGGGGTCAATGGGTTTCTATGGGATCAATGGGGCCCTATGGGGGTCAATCGGGATCTATGGGGTTCCTATGGGGTTCTATGGGGTCAGTGGGGCCCTATGGGGTCCCTATGGGCATGAATGCATCCCTATGAGGTCCCTATGGGGGTGAATGGGTCCTTATGGGGGTGAATGAGGTCTTATGGGTGCTCTATGGGGTGAATGGGTCCCTATGGGGGTGAACGGGACCCTATGGGGTGACTGGGTCCCTAGGGGGTTGAATGGGCCCCTATGGGGTTGAATGGGGCCCTATGGGGTTGAATGTGTCCCTGTGGGGTCCCTATGGGGTTGAATGGGGTCTCTATGGGGGTGAATGGGTCCCTATGGGGGTGGGGTCCATGGGGATGGGTCCCTATGGGGGTGAATGGGGTCTCTATGGGGTGATGGGGGCTCTTATGGGGGTGAATGGTTCCCTATGGGGTGATGGGCTCAAACTCTGGGGTCCCCTATGGGGGCATTGGGGTCCTCTGTAGGCTGCTATGGGGTCCCTATGGGGTGTATTGGTGTCGCTATGGGGTGATGGAGTCCCTATGGGGTCCCTATGGGGGTAATGGGGTTCCTATGGGGGTAATGGGGGCTCCTATGGGAGTGATGTGGGCCCCTATGGGCATGATTTGGGGGCCCCTATGGGGGTGATGGGGTCCCTATGGGGTCCCTATGGGGGTACTGGGGTCCCCTATGGGGATATTGGGGTCCCCTATGGGGTTAATGGGGTTCTCCATGGGGTTATTGGGGTGTTCTATGGGGTTACTGGCGTCTCTATGGGGTTATTGGGGTCTTCTATAGGGTTATGGAGGTCCCCTATGGGGTTATTGGGGTCCCTATGGGGGTATTGGGGTCCCTATGGGGTTAATGGGGTTCTCTGTGGGGTTATTGGGGTTCTCTATGGGGTTATTGGGGTCCCTATGGGGTTATTGGGGTCCCTATGGGGTTATTGGGGTCCCTATGGGGTTAATGGGGTTCTCTATGGGGTTATTGGGGTCCCTATGGGGTTATTGGGGTCCCTATGGGGTTAATGGGGTGTTCTATGGGGTTATTGGGGTCCCTATGGGGCTATTGCACGTGTGAGCCCATACATGGGCGGGTTGGAACACGTATGTCCATACATGACACATGTGTGTCCCTATACATGTATGTCCATACATGACACATGTGTCCCTATGTACATACAACACGTGACCCTATACATGTATGTCCATACATGACACACGTGTCCCTATGTACATACAACACGTGACCCTATACATGTATGTCCATACATGACACATGTGTCCCTATGTACATACAACACGTGACCCTATACATGTATGTCCATACATGACACATGTGTGTCCCTATGTACATACAACATGTGTCCCTATACATGTATGTCCATACATGACACATGTGTCCCTATGTACATACAACACGTGACCCTATACATGTATGTCCATACATGACACATGCCAATAGGGTGTCAATGGGTGCCAATGGGGGAATGGGTGCCAATGGGTGTCAATGGTGCCAATGGGTGCAATGGGTGTCAATGGGTGTCAATGGGTGCCAATGGGTATCAATGGGTGTCAATGGGTGCCAATGGGTGTCAATGGGTGTCAATGGGTGCCAATGGGTGTCAATGGGTGCCAGTGGGTGTCAATGGGTGTCAATGGGTGTCAATGGGTATCAATGGGTGTCAATGGGTGCCAATGGGTGTCAATGGGTGCCAATGGGTGTCAATGGGTGCCAATGGGTATCAATGGGTATCAATGGGTGCCAATGGGTGTCAATGGGTGCCAATGGGTATCAATGGGTATCAGTGGGTGCCAATGGGTGTCAATGGGTGTCAATGGGTGCCAATGGGTGCCAATGGGTGCCAATGGGTGCAATGGGAACCAATGGGGGAGGGGTGTCACTCTCTGTCCCCTCCCCCTCTCCTCACGTGGTATCACCCTGGGGGGGGGAGGGGGAGGGGGGGATAATCCGGGTTTTACTCCCTCCCCTCCCCCCCATGGGATTAATGGGGCCGCGGGGGATGATGGGAGTGGGGGGGGGAGGGGAAGGTGTGACCTCCCCTTTATGGGTCATGGAGAGCTCCGGGACCCCCATAACCCCCCCATAGCCCCCCATAGGCCCCCATTAACCCTCTATGGGCCCCCATAGCCCCCCATTACCCCCCTATGGGCCCCCATAACCCCCCCCATTGTCCCCCATAGGCCCCTATTACCCCTCTATGGGTCCCCATAGCCCCCCCATAGACCCCCATTGCCCTCCTATGGGCCCCCATAGCCCCCCATAGACCCCCATTGCCCCCCTATAGGCCTCCATTACTCCCCTATGGACCCCCATAGCCCCCCATTACCCTCACTCTGGCCCCCCATAGCCCCCCCATAGGTCCCCATTACTCCCCTATGAACCCCCATAGGTCCCCATAGCCCCCCATTACCCCCATAGCCCCCTATAGCCCCATAGCCCCCCATTACCCCCATAGCCCCCATTGCCCCCCTATGGGCCCCCATTACTCCCCTATGGACCCCCATAGCCCCCCATTACCCCCACTCTGGCCCCCCATATCCCCCCCATAGGCCCCCATTACTCCCCTATGGACCCCCATACCCCCCCCATAAACCCCCATTGCCCCCCTATGGGCCCCCATAGCCCCCCATTACCCTCATCTGGCCCCCCATAGCCCTCATAGCCCCCCCATAGGCCCCCATTACTCCCCTATGGACCCCCATTCCCCCCCATAGGCTCCCATTGCCCCCCTATGGACCCCCATTCCCCCCCCATAGGCCCCCCATTTCCCCCCTATAGACCCCCTTAACCCCCCTTAGGCCCCCCCATGCCCCCTCAATGCCCCCCCCAATCACCCCCCTCTCCCCCCTCCCCCACAGGTGGAATCGCCCCCCCTCGGCCATGGTGACCTCGTTGGACCCATGGGGACCCCCCCGAGCCCCCCCCACGCGGCCCCCCCGGGCCTGAAGAGCCCCCAAAGCATGGGGGGAGGCGGGGCCATGGCCCCTGCAGGCACCAATGGGGGCGTCAATGGGGGCGTCAATGGGGACGTCAATGGGGGCGTCAATGGGGACGTCAATGGGGGCGTCAATGGGGACATCAATGGGGGCGTCAATGGGGGCATCAATGGGGGCTTCAATAGGGCAGTCAATGGGGAGGTCAATGGGGCCGTCAATGGGGAGGTCAATGGGAGCTTCAATGGGGCCGTCAATGGGGACCTCAATGGGGGCTTCAATAGGGACGTCAATGGGGAGGTCAATGGGGACGTCAATAGGAGCTTCAATGGGGGCGTCAATGGGGGCTTCAATGGGGCCGTCAATGGGGCCGTCAATGGGGACGTCAATGGGGGCATCAATAGAGACATCAATGGGGAGGTCAATGGGGATGTCAATGGGGAGGTCAATGGGGAGGTCAATGGGGAGGTCAATGGGGACGTCAATGGGGGCATCAATAGGGGCGTCAATGGGGATGTTAATGGGGGCTTCAATGGTGACGTCAATGGGGGCATCAATGGGGACGTCAATGGGATCTTCAATGGGGACTTCAATAGGGACGTCAATGGGGGCATCCATACGGACATCAGTGGGGACGTCAATGGGAGCCCCAATGGGGCTGTTAATGGGGGCACCAATGGGGGCTTCAATGGAGGCACCAATGGGGACAGCATCTTCAATGGGGACATCTCCAATGGGGACTTCTCCAATGGGAGCATCAATGGTGGCATCTCCAATGGGAGCATCAATGGGGACATCTCCAATGGAAACATCAATGGGGACATCTTCAATGGGGACTTCAATGGGGACATCTCCAATGGGAGCATCAATGGGGGCATCTCCAATGGCAGCATCTCCAATGGGAGCATCAATGGGGACATCTCCAATGGCAGCATCTCCAATGGGAGCATCAATGGGGGCATCTCCAATGGTGGCATCTCCAATGGGAGCATCAATGGGAACATCTCCAATGGGGACTTCAATGGGGACATCTTCAATGGGGACTTCAATGGGGACATCTCCAATGGGGACATCGATGGTTGCATCTCCAATGGTGGCATCTCCAATGGGGACATCTTCAATGGGGACTTCTCCAACGGTGGTGACATCAGTACTGGCATCGCCAATGGTGGCTTCAGCCACAAGGACATTGCCAATGGGGGCATCTCCAATGGCTTCACCTCCAATGGGAGCACCAATGGGGACATCTCCAATGGCTTCACCTCCAATGGTTGCACCTCTAACAACAGCAGCTCCAATGGGAGCATCAATGGGGACATCTCCAATGGGGACATCTCCAATGGGGACATCTCCAATGGTGGCATCTCCAATGGGATCATCAACGGCATCACCTCCAATGGCATGACCTCTAACAACAGCATCTCCAACAGCATCATCTCCAATGGTGGCATCTCCAATGGGAGCATCAATGAGGGCATCAATGGGGACATCTCCAATGGGGACATCTCCAATGGGAGCATCAATGGGGACATCTCCAATGGTGGCATCTCCAATGGGAGCATCAATGAGGGCATCAATGGGGACATCTCCAATGGGGACATCTCCAATGGGAGCATCAATGGGGACATCTCCAATGGTGGCATCTCCAATGGGAGCATCAATGAGGGCATCAATGGGGACATCTCCAATGGGGACATCTCCAATGGGAGCATCAATGGGGACATCTCCAATGGTTGCATCTCCAATGGCATCTCCAATGGCGGCATCAATGGGGACACCTCCAACAGCATCACCTCCAATGGCGGCATCTCCAACAATGACATCTCCAATGGGGACATCATCTCCAATGGGAACATCTCCAATGGGAGCATCAATGAGGGCATCAATGGGGACATCTCCAATGGGGACATCTCCAATGGGAGCATCAATGGGGACATCTCCAATGGGAACATCTCCAATGGGAGCATCAATGAGGGCATCAATGGGGACATCTCCAATGGGGACATCTCCAATGGGAGCATCAATGGGGACATCTCCAATGGTTGTATCTCCAATGATGACATCTCCAATGGCAGCACCAATGGGAGCATCAATGGGGACATCAATGGGGACATCTCCAATAGGGACTTCTCCAATGGGAGCATCAATGGGGACATCTCCAGTGGTTGCATCTCCAATGGTGGCATCTCCAATGGGATCATCAATGGGGCCACCTCCAACAGCACCACCCCCAATGGGGACATCAATGGGGCCACCTCCAATGGGATCATCAATGGGGCCACCTCCAACAGCACCACCCCCAATGGGATCATCAATGGGGCCACCTCCAACAGCACCACCCCCAATGGGGACATCAATGGGGCCACCTCCAATGGGATCATCAATGGGGCCACCTCCAATGGGAGCATCAATGGGGGCATCAATGGGGCCACCTCCAACAGCACCACCGCCAATGGGAGCATCAATGGGGCCACCCCCAATGGGATCATCAATGGGGGCATCAATGGGATCATCAATGGGGCCGCCCGCAATGGGATCATCAATGGGAGCATCAATGGGGGCATCAATGGGATCATCAATGGGGCCGCCCCCAATAGCACCACCCCCAATGGGAGCATCAATGGGGCCACCCCCAATGGGATCATCAATGGGAGCATCAATGGGATCATCAATGGGGCCACCTCCAATGGGATCATCAATGGGGGCATCAATGGGGCCACCCCCAACAGCCCCGCCCCCAACATCTGCCCCTCCCCCCTCTTCCTCCTCCTCCTCTCCCATCACCCCCGGTGGCCCCTCCCCCACCCTCCCCCCTTCCTCCTCCTCCTCCTCCTCCTCCTCCTCCTCCCCACCCCCACCCACGCCGCCACCTTCAAAGTAGGGGTCATGGGACCTTGGTCATGTGACCCCATCCTAGCCCGGGCCTATCCGGAGCTTGCTTCTCGCTTGGCCACCTCCCGCCTCAACGCGGACCCCAACTACAACGAAGCCTATTGGTGGGATCCTTTGGTCCTATCAGAAGCTTGCTCCGCCCCCCAAGCCGCTATGGGGCTGCTCAACGTGGATCGTTACGCCTCCTCCTTAGTAGGCCCCATAAACCCCGTTACTTGTGGGGCAGCCGCTCTCCTTATGGCCGCTTGGAACAAACCCATGGCGGCCTGGAGTTGCTATGGGGCAGGGAGGGAGACGTTGGTGCCCCCTATGCCGGGGGTGGTGGGGGTCCTGCATTCGGTGCTCAGGTTCTTCCATTGGGCCCACGTGGCCGTGGTGGCCGCCCCACAAGAGGCCTGGAGGGAAGTGGGGCGCGGGGTGGCCCAAGGGTTGAGGGCTATGGGGCTGCCCGTGAGGGTGGTGGCCATGGAAGGGGAGGAGGAAGAGGAGGTGATGGAGGCGTTGAGGAAGGTGAAGAGGGCGGATGGAGTGAGAGGTGAGGGGGGGGTGGGGTGGGGGTGGGGTGGGGTGGGGGAGGGGGGGAGGGGGAGGGGGTGATGGTGATGATGGATGGTGATGATGGAGGATGATGATGATGATGATGATGATGATGATGGATGATGATGGATGATGATGATGATGATGATGATGGATGATGACGATGATGGTAATGATGGGTGATGATGATGACCATAATGGATGATGATGATGGATGATGATGCTGATGGATGATGATGGATGCTGGTGGTGATGATGATGATGATGGATGACCATGATGGATGACCATGATGGATGATGATGATGATAATGGATGCTGGTGATGATGATGATGGATGACAATGATGATGATAATGATGGATGATGATGCTGATGATGCTGATGATAATGGATGATGATGCTGATGGATGATGATGGATGACCATGATGATGATGGATGATGATGATGATGATGATAATGGATGATGATGATGATGATGGATAACAATGGATGATGATGATGATGATGGATGATGATGATGCTGCTGATGGATGATGGATGATGATGATGATGATGGATGCTGCTGCTGCTGCTGATGACGATGATGATGGATGACGACGATGATGATGATGATGGGTGATGAATGATGCTGATGATGCTGCTGTTGATGATGATGGATGATGATGATGATAATGATGATGGATGCTGCTGATGGATGCTGATTATGATGATGCTGATGATGATGATGATGGGTGATGAATGATGCTGATGATGCTGATGATAATGGATGGTGATGACGATGATGATGGATGATGATGATGGATGACCATGATGGATGCTGATAATGGATGATGATGGATGACGATGCTGATGATGCTGATGGATGATGCTGGTACTGACCCGGGTGCTGTCCCTGCAGTGGTCCTCATGTGCATGCACTCGGTGCTGCTGGGCGGCCGGGAGCAGAAGCTCCTCCTGGAGACAGCCCAGGCCATGGGCATGGCCGACGGCTCCTACGTCTTCATCCCCTACGACACCCTCACCTTCCCGCTGCCCTATCAGAGCGCGCCTTACTCCAGCCTGGCCAATAGCAGCCGCCTGAGGCGGGCCCACGACGCCGTCCTCACCATCACCATGGACTCGCCCCATGGCTCCTTCCACCAGGCCCTGCTCCGAGCGCAGGAGGCCAAGGAGATCCCTGCTTACATCGACCCCATGCAGGTGTGGGGCGGGGGGGGTGTGGGGTGGGGGTTGTGGGGTGGGGGTTGTGGGGTGAGGGGGAGGGTTATGGGGTGTAGGGGAGGTCTATGGGGTGAGGGACACCTCTGTGGGGTATCATCCCTATGGGGTGTAGGGGAGGTCTATGAGGTGTAGGGCAGGGCTATGGGGTGAGGGACATCTCTATGGGGTGAGGGACATCTCTATGGGGTGAGGGACGTCTCTATGGGGTGAGGGATACATCTATGGGGTGAAGGACATCTCTATGGGGTGTAGGGGAAGTCTATGGGGTGAAGGACACTTCTATGGGGTATCATCTCTATGGGGTGAGGGGCGTCTCTATGGGGTGAGGGACATCTCTATGGGGTGTAGGGGAGGTCTATGGGGTGAGGGACATCTCTATGGGATGAGGGACATCTCTATGGGGTGTAGGGGAAGTCTATGGGGTGAGGGGCAGGGCTATGGGGGAAGGACATCTCTATGGGGTGAGGGACATCTCTATGGGGTGTAGGGGAAGTCTATGGGGTGAGGGACACTTCTATGGGGTATCATCTCTATGGGGTGTAGGGGAGGTCTATGGGGTGTAGGGGAGGTCTATGGGGTCAGGGACACCTCTATGGGGTATCATCTCTATGGGGTGAAGGACAGGGTAATGGGGTGAGGGATAGGGCTATGGGGTGAGGGTAACGTCTATGGGGTGAAGGACATCTCTATGGGGTGTAGGGGAAGTCTATGGGGTGAAGGACACTTCTATGGGGTATCATCTCTATGGGGTGAAGGACATCTCTATGGGGTGAGGGACGTCTCTATGGGGTGAAGGACATCTCTATGGGGTGTAGGGGAAGTCTATGGGGTGAGGGACACCTCTGTGGGGTATCATCTCTATGGGGTGTAGGGGAGGTCTATGGGGTGTAGGGGAGGTCTATGGGGTGAGGGACATCTCTATGGGGTGTAGGGGAGGTCTATGGGGTGAGGGACATCTCTATGGGGTGAGGGACATCTCTATGGGGTGTAGGGGAAGTCTATGGGGTGAAGGACACCTCTGTGGGGTATCATCTCTATGGGGTGTAGGGGAGGTCTATGGGGTGTAGAACAGGTCTATGGGGTGAGGGAAACGTCTATGGGGTGAAGAACATCTCTATGGGGTGAGGGACACCTCTGTGGGATATCATCTCTATGGGGTGAAGGACAGGTCTATGGGGTGAAGGACATCTCTATGGGGTTTAGGGGAATTCTATGGGGCATAGGGCAGGTCTATGGGGTGAGGGAAACGTCTATGGGGTGTAGGGGAAATCTATGGGGTGAGGGACACTTCTATGGGGTATCATCTCTATGGGGTGAGGGACAGGTCTATGGGGTGAGGGACATCTCTATGGGGTGAGGGACACCTCCGTGGGGTATCATCTCTATGGGGTGAGGGACATCTCTATGGGGTGAGGGACAGGTCTATGGGGTGTAGGACAGGTCTATGAGGTATAAGGGTTGTCTATGGGGTGAGGGACACATCTGTGGGGTGAGGGACGCCTCTATGGGGAGAAGGGCACAGCTATGGGGTGGGAATGGGATCCACAGAGATGGGTCATGGGTTGGCTGTAGGATGGGGCAGTTGGTGGAGAACGTGGCCAATGGGGCTCAAGCGGAGATGACAACAGCCAATAGGATTGAATGGTGATAACCGTGGCCAATGGCATTGGCTATTGATAACCATGACCAATAGCATTGGGTATTGATAACCATGACCAATAGCATTGGCTATCGATAACCACGCCCACCACCATTGGCTATCGATAACCACGCCCACCACCATTGGCTATCGATAACCACACCCACCACCATTGGCTGTTGATAACCACACCCACCACCATTGGCTATTGATAACCATGACCAACACCATTGGCTATCGATAACCACGCCCACCACCATTGGCTATTGATAACCATGCCCACCACCATTGGCTATCAATAACCACGCCCAACACCATTGGCTATTGATAACCACGCCCACCACCATTGGCTATCGATAACCACGCCCAACACCATTGGCTATCGATAACCACGCCCACCACCATTGGCTATCGATAACCACACCCACCACCATTGGCTATCGATAACCACGCCCACCACCATTGGCTATTGATAACCACGCCCACCACCATTGGCTATCGATAACCACGCCCACCACCATTGGCTATCGATAACCATGCCCACCACCATTGGCTATTGATAACCACGCCCACCACCATCGGCTATTGATAACCACGCCCACCACCATTGGCTATCGATAACCACGCCCACCACCATTGGCTATTGATAACCACGCCCACCACCATTGGCTATCGATAACCACGCCCACCACCATTGGCTATTGATAACCACGCCCACCACCATTGGCTATCGATAACCATGCCCAATAGCATTGAATGGACATAACCCCCCCCACCACCATTGGCTATCGATAACCCCGCCCACCACCATTGGCTATCGATAACCACGCCCACCACCATTGGCTATCGATGACCATCCCCAATAGCATTGAATGGAGCTAACCCCCCCACCACCATTGGCTACCGATAACCCCGCCCACCCCTTTCACCCAATCCCATTCCCTCTCCCCCCTATAGGTCCACCCCCTCTTCGCCACCATCTACAACTCCATCCACATCCTGGCCACGGCGGTGGAGGCGACCCGACGCGCCGGCCATTGGGTGATGGGCACCAGTGTGGCCCAGAGCTTCCATGACCTCCACGTCCATGGCTTCTGCCAGAGCTTCTCCATTGACCGCAATGGGGCCATCACCGTCCCCTATGTGGTGCTGGACACCGATGGGCAAGGGGATCGGTTGTGGCCGGTCTATGGGGTGGAACCGGGGACCCATGGATTGAGGAGAAGGGAACGGGAGGTCCATTGGCCCCATAGGACTGGGCCGGGTGCTGATGCTGGGTGTTGGTTCGAGGAGGGCTCCGTCTGTAATGGGGGTGAGGGGGGTGTTGGGGGGGTGGGGGTGGGGGTGGGGCTGGGGGTGGGGGTGGGGGTGGGGGTGGGGGTGGTGCCTGTTGTCATATAGGTGTTATCCATCGTCATCATCATCATAGCCCACCATAGCTGGACCATAGGTGGCCATGGGTGACCATAGGTGGCCGTGGTGGCCATGGTTGACTATAGGTGGCCATAGGTGGCCATAGCTGATCATAGGTGGCTGTGGTGGCCATGCTTGACTATAGGTGGCCATGGGTGACCATAGGTGGCCGTGGTGGCCATGGGTGACCATAGGTGGCCGTGCTGGCCATACTTGACTATAGGTGGCCATGGGTGACCATAGGTGGCCATGGGTGACCATAGGTGACCATAGGTGGCCATAGGTGGCCATGGGTGACCATGGTACCACAAACAGTCCTAGATGGCCATAGATGACCATAGGTGGCCATGGGTGACCATAGGTGACCATAGGTGGCCATACTTGACTATAGGTGGCCATGGGTGACCATAGGTGGCCATAGGTGGCCATAGGTGGCCATGGGTGACCATGGTACCACAAACAGTCCTAGATGGCCATAGATGACCATAGGTGGCCATGGGTGACCATAGGTGGCCATAGGTGCCCATAGGTGGCCATAGGTGGCCATAGGTGCCCATAGGTGGCCATAGGTGGCCATAGGTGGCCATAGGTGCCCATAGGTGGCCATAGGTGGCCATAGGTGCCCATAGGTGCCCATAGGTGGCCATAGGTGACCATGGTGATCCTCCATGACCACAACACTCATAGGTGGCCATAGGTGACCATAGGTGGCCATAGGTGACCATAGGTGGCCATAGGTGGCCATAGGTGGCCATGGGTGACCATGGTACCACTAACACTCCTAGATGGCCATAGGTGACCATAGGTGGCCATAGGTGACCATAGGTGGCCATAGGTGACCATAGGTGGCCATAGGTGACCATAGGTGGCCATAGGTGGCCATAGATTACCATAGGTGGCCATAGGTGACCATGGTGGCCATAGATAGCCATAGGTGGCCATAGGTGACCATGGTGGCCATAGATTACCATAGGTGGCCATAGGTGACCATGGTGGCCATAGATAGCCATAGGTGGCCATAGGTGACCATGGTGGCCATAGATAACCATAGGTGGCCATAGGTGACCATAGGTAGCCATAGATGACCATAGGTGGCCATAGGTGACCATGGTGGCCATAGATTACCATAGGTGGTCCTCCATGACCACAACACTCATAGATGGCCATAGCTGACCATAGGTGGCCATAGCTCACCCTAGGTGGCCATAGGTGACCATAGGTGGCCATAGATGACCATAGGTGGCCATAGGTGACCATAGGTGGCCATAGGTGACCATAGGTGGCCATAGATGACCATAGGTGGCCATAGATAACCATAGGTGGCCATAGGTGACCATAGGTGGCCATAGGTGACCATAGGTGACCATAGATGACCATAGGTGGCCATAGGTGACCATAGGTGGCCATAGATGACCACAAGCCCTCATAGGCACCCATGGGTGCTCCTGCTGAAGGCCTTCACCCCCATTCTCTTCCATAGGGCTGGACGCCACCATTGTCCTCCTCATGATGGTCCTCATGTGCACCCTGGCTGCTGCTGGTGCTGCCCTGGCCTGCTTCATCAGGTGGGTGCTATGGGGCTCCATTGGGTGCTATGGGGCTCCAATGGGTGCTATGGGCTCCAATGGGTGCTATGGGGCTGCAATGGGTGCTATGGGCTCCAATGGGTGCTATGGGCTCCAATGGGTGCTATGGGCTCCATTGGGTGCTATAGGGCTCCAATGGGTGCTATGGGGCTCCATTGGGTGCTATGGGGCTCCATTGGGTGCTATGGGCTCCATTGGGTGCTATGGGGCTCCATTGGGTGCTATGGGGTGCATTGGGTGCTATGGGGTGCATTGGGTGCTATGGGCTGCATTGGGTGCTATCGGCTGCATTGGGTGCTATGGGATCGGTGAGGTCGAGCTGGTGCTAGGGCTCCACTGGTGCTACGGGCTCTAATGGGTGCTATGGGCTCCATTGGGTGCTATGGGGCTCCATTGGGTGTTATGGGCTCCATTGGTGTGATGGGTTCACTGGTGCGATGGGGCTCCAATGGGTGCTATGGGCTCCAATGGGTGCTATGGGCTCCAATGGGTGCTATGGGGCTCCTGTGCTATGGGGCTCCTGTGCTATGGGGCTCCTGTGCTATGGGGCTCCTGTGCTATGGGGCACTGGGTGCTGGTTTCTATTGGGTGCTATGGGGCTCCATTGGGTGCTATGGGGCTCCATTGGGTGCTATGGGCTCCAATGGGTGCTATGGGCTCCAATGGGTGCTATGGGGCTCCAATGGGTGCTATGGGCTCCAATGGGTGCTATGGGGCTCCAATGGGTGCTATGGGGCTCCAATGGGTGCTATGGGGCTCCAATGGGTGCTATGGGCTCCAATGGGTGCTATGGGGCTCCATTGGTGTGATGGGGTCCATTGGGTGCCATGGGTCTATCTGGTGTTATAGGTCTCATTGGGTGCTGTGGGTCACATTGGTTGCTATGGGTCTCATTGGGTGCTATGGGACACTGTGGGTTCCTGTGGGTTTCATTAGGTATTATGGGACACTGTGGGTTGCTATGGGTCTCATTGGGTACTATGGGACACTGTGGGGTGCTATGGGTCTCATTGGGTGCTATGGGACACTATGGGTTGGTATGGGTCTCGTTGGGTGTTATGGGTCTCATTGAGTGCCATGGGTCTCATTGGGTGGTGTGGGTCTCATTGGGTACTATGGAACACTGTGGTTTAGTATGGGTCTCATTGGGTGCTATGGGTTGCTATGGGTCTCATTGGGTGCTGTGGGCTGCTGTGGGTCTCATTGGGTGCCGTGGGTCTCATTGGGTGCTATGGGACACTGTGGTTTAGTATGGGTCTCATTGGGTGCTGTGGGGTCTCATTGGGTGCTGTGGGGTCTCATTGGGTGCTATGGGGTGCTATGGGGTCTCATTGGGTACTATGGGGTGCTATGGGCC